TCTCCTCCTCTCTCTCTCTCTCTCTCTCTCTCTAGAGATATATTCTCCTTTCAGAGAGATCGAGTTTAAAGGCGATATATTTCAAGCGATTCGTGTTTTTGGTTGGATGTTTTCCAGTTTGACGCGTCGGATCGGGGCCGACGGGGATCGAAAAGAATTCGGAGGGGACGGTCGCGAAATATAGTCGAGAATCCAGGCGAAGGGGGAGGCGAGGCGAGAATTTGGGCCGCGTGTGGAATGGAAATGAAAAGGGAGGAGCCTCGACCGGATGAACTCGAGGAAAATCCGTTTCTCTGGATCGTATGCAAAACGGGCGCCCCCCGTGTAATAATAACGAGCTTGCACGCCGTCGTTCGATACTGCGCCGACCAGATGCCGAAGAAAATGAGCCTGGGCTTCCTTCGAACGCTCGCCGCCCTCCTGGTAATCGTAATGCCCCGATCGCTCACTTACGTTCTCCTCTATCCGATTTTCAGATTAGTGTTCGGCAATTTGTACCCGGCCTACGCTTCTTACAAGGCGGTCAGGACGAAGAATGTGAAAGAATACGTAAGTATTCATTCTTATCACGCTTGAATTGTTTCTTTCTTCGTTTCTGCAAACGATAATCTCTTTGTCTTTGAAATCTACCTTACCCCCGACGAGCCAATTCGAGTAATAAGTGATAAGAAGAGACGATTATTTCATTGAGAAAATTAAGTAAGCGATAGTATCGTTTTCCAGGTGAAATGGATGATGTACTGGATCGTGTTCGCGCTGTTCACGTGCGCGGAAACCTTCACCGACGTCTTCTTCAGCTTTTGGTGAGCAAGCAAAACTTTCGCTCGTGTTTCACGACTCGCCTCTTTAAGGGCGTCGAATAAAAGAGGAGAGGCCGACCAACCTTCCCCTCCCCTTTCTCCGTATAATCCGAAATAGCCAAGGGGTTGGTCGTCGCGGTGGCCCCGTTTTCTGCCGGAAGCGAATAAAATTTCGTACGAGTCAGTCGCGGGGCCAATAAACCGAGGTGAACCTCTCGCCACAGGGAATTCCGAAAGTCTAATTTCGGCCGAGATGGATATTGGCTTACATGCACTTCTGAGGATTCCACCTCGGCGTCTCATCTTCCGTCTCTGTTCCCGTTTCTCCCTGCGCTCTCCGTGTGTGCCAGATCTGCTCTCTCCCTTCATACTCGGATTACCAACCAAAAAAGGAGAGGAGCTCTCGTGTATTTCTGGCCAGGAATAACTTTCCTCTCTCTCTCTCTCTCCCTCATTCCCTCCCCCTTTCATTTCCTTCGCCATCGTCGTCGCATCACTACCCTAACCGATTTCTCGCTTTTTTTCTTCTTTGTTCTTACATCCGCTCGACGATGACGTTCCCTCCCACTCCCACCCCCCTCCCCCTCTCCTCGTTTAATAATATTTCGTATTTCTCTTTTCAACCGAACGAACGTAATATCATTTGTCTCGTATTCTTTTTTTTCCTCCCTCCCTTTCCTCCCCCCCTTCGTTCTTTCTCTCGGCCAGGTTCCCATTCTACTACGAGATCAAGACGATCCTGGTCATCTGGCTACTGAGTCCGGCCACCAAAGGGTCGAGCATACTTTACAGACGCTTCGTTCACCCGGCGTTGATCCAACGCGAGGCTGAGATCGACGAAGCTCTGGCCCGCGCCACGGAGCAGGGTTACACGGCGGTCTTACACCTAGGATCGAAAGGTGTGAACTACGCCACCACGGTTCTCATGCAAACAGCGATCAAGGTAAGTTTCGAATCCTTCGAATCAATCCTTGATTTCGCTTATTAATAAACGACCGATTCGAGTCGATCGTTTCGTTCGTCGATATATAACGAATCCAGAAGGCAGAAATAAGGAAATTGCAATCGAACAAAACGATCGACGAGATTCTTCTCAATCTCACTTGATATATTGAACCGCTTTAGCACAAAATCAAGCTTTGTGCCACGAGCCACTCCTCCCAACACGCTAATCGTTCGATTTTGTTCTTTTTTTTTCATGGTTTTGTGTTTTCGTTGTCCTGCACGCCTATCCTGCACGCCGCGCCGTTACCGCCTCTAATAAAAAATAAATAAAAAAAAAAACAAAACAAAATAAAAAAAAAAAAACAACCAACGTCGACCACCATCACCACCACCACCACCATCATCATCACACCACCATCGTCTAACCACTGCCAATCACCGTCGTCCCTTTAACAACTCGTCGCTTATCGAAAAAAAAAAAAAAAAAAAAAAAACAAAACCATGTGTTATACGTGTACACGGTGTCTATTGTGTTCGACCTGTTGTAACATCAAACATTCCACGATGTATATCTGTGTATATATATATGTGTGTGTGTGTATATATAAATATATATATATACAACCATCGAAAAAAAACAAACAAACAAACAAAATAATAACATCAACTCAAAAAAAATACATATTGGGAAACGAACGGAACCGGGGGTCAGCATATGCTCAAGCCCGATCAAATCGTCGCGAATGAACAACAATCATCGATCCAATCGGCCTCGGCGATTTCTAGCTCGGCCAAACTTCCAACAACCTCGACACCCAAGGAAAAGAAGACGGACGAGACGGACGGTGCACCGAAGGAACCGAATCAACCGTTCCCAAGCATTAGCTCCGACGACTTGATCCCGGTCGAGTCGATACCAAGCTTGTACAACGACTTGAACACGGACGACGACGAGCTGGCCGAGATTAATCGGGCGGAGGAGAAAATTTTCAAGATGCCCTCGCCCAAGAGGAGCTACAGGACGAGGAAGAGCAGGAGGGATCGTTCGGGGTCGAGCAGGCGGCTCAGATCCCGTACCCGCGACAACTACAAATTCAGCGACGAGGAGTTGGATCACCAACAGCAACACGTGTCATCCCCCGTGGAGATCTGAGAGGCGGAGGGAGAGGAGGAGGGGGCAGGAAGGGGCAGAGGCGTTCGAAATGTATAGGGTTTTCCTCCGAGTTACCAAGATTAGATTTAAGCGTGTATCGCCGCGAATTTCGAGAATTGGGGGGAGGAGGGGGGAGGGGAGGGAGGGACAAGTCGAGTTTTTCTTTTCTTCCTTTCTTCTCGATTTTGAAAAAAAAAAAAAAAAAATTAAGTAGAGTTCTTTTTCTTCTCTCCTCCCCTCCTTTTTTATTTTTTACTTCTCTCACGCGGTATACTTTTAGGAAGATTATTATTATTATTATTATTATTATTATTATTATTATTATTATTATAACGATAGATTATATATATAAATATATATATATATATATATATATATATTATGTGCACGTGGTGGAAGAAGACACGAGATATGAAGAAGAGATTTTTTTTTTTAATCGCGGGTTTGATCCATTTATGGTTACTT